CCCTCTCCCTCTAAAAATCAATGGAAAAAATATCCTTGGGTGAAGATTAACAATAAATAAATAAAATAAAAAGCTTCTACACAACAAAAGAAACCAACAAAATGAAAAGGAAATCTATGGAATGAAACAAAATATTTGCAAATCATTTATCTCATAAGGGGTTAAATCCAAAATACATAAAGAACTCATACACCTCAACAGCAAAACAAACAGTCCAATTAAAAAATGGACAGAAGATCGGAATAGCCATTTTCCAGAGAAGACACACAGATGGCCAATAGACACATGAAAAAGTGTTCAACATCACTAATCATCAAAAAAATGCAAATCAAAACCACAATGAGATATCACCTCACATTTATTAGAATGGCTACTATGAAAAAGACAAGAATTAACAACTGTTGGTGAGGATTTAGAGAAAAGGAAGCCCTTGTACACTGTTGGTGGGAATATAAATTGGTGCTGCCCCTATAGAGAACAGTATGAAGGTTCCTCGAAAAAGTAAAAATAGAACTACCATATGGCCCAGCAATTCCACTTCTGGCTATTTAGCTGAAGAAAGCTAAATCACTATCTTGAAAAGATATCTGCACTCCCATGTTCACTGCAGCATTATTTACAATAGTCAAAACACAGAAGCAACCCAAGTAGCCATCAGTGGATAAATGGATAAAGGAAATGTAGTGTGTATATGCAATGGAATTTTATTCAGCCATAAAAAGAATGAAAATCCTGCCATATGTAACACCATGACTTGACCTTGAGGACATTAGGCTAAAAGAAGTAAGTCAGACAGGGAATAACAAATACCACATGATCTCACTTATATGTGGAATATAAAATAAAATAAACCCATAGATATAGAGAACAAATGGGTGGTTGCCAGAGACGGAGGGGAAGGAGATGGGGGAGCGCAAAGGGTGAAGGTGGTCAAAAGGTACTGGGGATGTAATGTATAGCACAGTGATTATATTTAATAATACTGTAGAGTGTATTTGAAAAGTGCTAAAAGAGTTGATCTTAGAAGCTCCCATCACAAGAAAAAAATCTGTAACTTTGTATGGTGATGGATGTTCACTTATTCTGGTAATCATTTTCTAATACCTTGTATACACACATCTTAAACCATTACACTGTACAGTTAAAACTAATACAATGTTATATGTGATTTATATCTCAACAAAAAAGGTGGCATGGCTGGCTACATTAATTTCAGACAAAGTAGACTTCAGTATAAGGTATATATATAAGCAGGGATAAAAGGAGACATTTACTATAATCATGGGGTCCATTCAACAAGAAGATACAACAATCTTAAATGTGTAAGTATATAATATCTTCATACTATCAGGAGCAAAGATTGATAGTCTTAAAAGAATAAATTACGAAACCAGCATATAAATCTGAAGATTTTAACACTACTCTCTCAGTAATTGACAGAACAAGTATACAAAAAAATCATTAAGGATAAAGAAGACTTAAACAACATTATCAACCAATTTAACATAATTGACACTCACAAAAACATTCCACCCACCCTAGCCAGGTAGCTCAGTTGGTTAGACCATCATCCTGATACACCAAGTTTGCTGGTCTGATCCCGGTCGGGGCACATACAAAAAATCAACCAATTAATGCATAAATAAGTAGAACAATAAATTGATTTTTCTCTCTCCCTCCCCCTCTCTCCCTCTAAAATCAATAAATAAAATTTTAAAATAACACTCCATTCAATAATTACAGAATACATAATTTTTATCAAGTGCATTTGGAACATTCAACTATAGTGGTACCTCAGTTTTCTAACGTCTCTATTGACGAACATTTAGGTTTACGAACACCGTAAACTCCAAAGTAAATGCTTCAGTTTTCGAACACGCCTCGGAAGTCAAACATGCCACACAGCTTCCACTGAGGGCAAGATCCTGAGGCCCAGCTGTCGGCTGTTGATTTCTCGGTTTTCAAACGTTTCAGAACTCGAACAGTCTTCCAGAACGGACAACATTCAAAAACTGAGGTACCACTGTATATGCTGACCAATAAACCAAGTCTCAAAACAGTTTTAATAAAATTAAATCTGGTTCATTCATGAATTAAGCTGTTTAATGGAAACAACCTAATGTCTACCACTAATTAAGATATCTCGAAAGTCCCTAAATACTTGAAAATAAACACACACAAAAGACATAAGATATTTTGAAATGAATAAAATAAAAAATTAGTGGGATGCAGCTAACATATTGCCTAAAGAAAACTGTATATCTTTAAATACTTACATTAGAAAAGAATTTTAAAATCAATAATCATAGCCTTCACTTTAAGAAAAGTTGGGGGGGAAAAAGAAAATTAAATGCAAAGTAAACTGGTAAGGAGTACAAAGGACTGATTGTGGTGATGATAACAAGGGTATAAACATGAAAAATAAACATTTGATAAAATGTTTGTTTTGGAGGGTATACTTTATTGTAAGGAAATTTTACTTCAATAAAGTGCATTTTTAAAGAATGATGCAAAATTTAAGAATTTTGAAATAATTTCCGCTGTCTTAGTAATCGTAATAGCAGATTACTTAACACGTTTGCTAAAAGAAACCAAACAGCTGATAATCCATTTATTTATTTATTTATTTATTTATTTATTTATTTATTTATTTTTAAATAAATCTTTATTAACTTCAGAGAGAGGAAGTGAGAGGGAGAGAGAGAGTCGAAACATCAATGATGAGAGAATCACTGATCGGCTGCCTCCTGCATGCCCCCAACCAGGGGATCGAGTCTGCAACCCAGGCACATGCCCTGACCCAGNAGAATCACTGATCGGCTGCCTCCTGCATGCCCCCAACCAGGGAATCGAGTCTGCAACCCAGGCACATGCCCTGACCCAGAATCAGACCGCGAGCTAGTGGATCATAGGTCATGCTCAACCAGCTGAGCTATTTTTAAAAAATTATCATACAGAACTCTGATCATATTTTATCTTGAAAATTTAATAAAATATACTCACCTACATGACAACTTCCTAGTTTTACAGGTTCTGTTTCTAAATTACTTAATTTGCCACTTTCTTTGTTGTCATTATGAGAAATAAGACTCTGAGATAACTGATTCGCAGTCAGATTTGCCTGAAGCTTTTGAATTTCTGCCTCTTTTATTGCAAGCTTAATCCTAGCACAGAGGGGAAAAAAGCCAAAAAATATTAGAAAGGTTCTATAAAAAATATCTCATACCATTTTTACCATTCAAGATGGTAAAAAATTTCAAACTCTGATATTAGTCAACTATTGGGCAGGATATGCAAACTCTTTTATACTACTGATTGGACTGTAAACTGGTTCAGCTACTTTAGAAACTTGGTGATACCTAGTAAAATTGAAAAGGTACACACCCTACGACCCAGATTTTCACTTTTAGGGATATACACTAGAGAAACTGGCCCATATTGTAGTTAACATGTATAAGTATGTACTCTGCAGCACTGTTTGTAATAGAAACTAGAAACACAGTAACTATCAATAAAGGAATAGATAAATAAACTGTGATATAGTTATAAGATAGACTCTTATACAGCTTTAAAAACTAAACTATCCACAGTAATCCATGCATTGATCAATCACTCTACCTACTTCAACATGAATTTTTAAAATGATGTTGCATGAAAAAGCTAAATTAAAAAAATATATAAACATCTAGTATATTTCTGTGAGTACAAACATACAAAATGGATTGAAGAATATGTACCTAATTCATGATGGTGGATACTAAGGAGGAGAATGGGACTAGTGGTAAGAATCAAAATATATCATCTATCCTGTAATGTTTTATTTTTTATTTAAAGAAACAGATTTAATAAAACAAATATCACAAAACATTAAGAAGTAATTCTTAGTTGTGGAAACACAGATATTTGTTATAACACTCTCTGAACTTTTTTATATTTTTCAACATTTCAATTAAAGATCTTAATTTATTTACCAATTTTTAAAAGCATTGTATTTGCTACAACTTCAGAACCAGAAAACCATACCTTAATTCTGAAATCATCATTTTATTTGCCTCACAGCAGCCAATGTAGCTGTCATCCTTGTTCGACAAACTACTCATCTGGTGCTTAGAAAGAGGTGATTTAAAACCAAACATCTCTCTTTGTAACTGTAAGTTTAAAAACCAACACATATAAATTTGTAATATCTATAATGCAATTTTTAAATTCAGAACCCTAAGTCTGAAAAATAGTGTGAATTTAATAGAAACAACCTAACGTCTATCAATAGGAGAATGTATAAATTCATTATGAAATAATGTATAAATACATTATGAAATAAGACAATGGAAAAACTACCGTAGTTAAATCAAGCTGCATTATGTACATCGTTATGGAGACATCACATAACATAAAACTGAGTATAAAACAACAGTGACACATGTAGTACTTTCAAAAATGAACTGAACTGTATACACACACACACACACACACACTTTTTTTTTTCTAGGTGCATCTGTACGTGGCAATATTTAAAATATGGACAAGCAGGCCCTGGCTGGTGTGGTTCAGTTGGATGGGAGTCATCCCATGCGCCGAAAGGTTGCTGTTAGATTCCTGATCAGGGCACATGCCTGGGATGCAGGCTTGATCCCCAGTAGGGGATGTGTGGGAGGCAGTGATTGATGTTTCACTCTCATATTGGTGTTTCTCTCTCTCCCTCTCCCTTCCTCTCTCTATAAAAAATCAATAAAAAATCTTTTAAAAAAATATGGACAAGAAGGGTACACAGGAATTTCAGAACAGTCGCTACCTCTGAGGAGAGCGGGAGAGAATTGAATCTGATATATAAAGAGGCTTCATTTACCTGTAAAATTTTATTCTAAAAAAATCTGAAGTAGATATCACAAAATGTTATCCAGATTTAGAAAATGCTATGCTACATTGGTCTCTGTGCTTTTCTGTGTGCTTGAATAACACAGAATTTTAAAATTGTTTGTAAAAAGGGGCAAGGTAAGCACTAATGACCACTACCTTCAAACTATAACCAAATCACACTTTATAGAAATGAAAAAAACTCACATTTCCAAACCATGTTATTCTTAGCACTGCATGAAACACAGGATCAAGCATATATTATCATACCACCTTCAGAATCACATACCAAGTAATTCTTGATACGGAGTCAAACGAAAATATCAATTTTAAATGGATGCTATCTGCATCTGATTACTATCAGATTCCAAAAGCAAACTGGTACATTAAAAACCTAAGCAAATAATCAATAATGAGCATCCTAGGAAAGTAGATATAACAGAGGGCTGGGAAGAATCATACATTCTAGTTTTAATTCTGCTACAAGTTATCCACTTCCTTGCATCTACATTTCTTCACCAATAAAATGATGGTATTGAATCAGATGATTTCTAAGGTCTCTTGCAGCTTCATAATTCCATGACAGTTTAAAATTCACATACATATATGAAACCAACCACGACACATTTATCTGTAGTTTTCTCCCTATCTCACCTTTATTTTACATCTATCAGAAACAAATTTCTGACATAGGTATATTTACCTTCTTCCTAATCTCACTTATAAATATGATCGTATACATATATAACTTAAAGAGAAAAAGTGGCTGGGTGCATTATAAAAACATTTTAATGTTCTGTACCATTCACTAAGTACATGAAAAGTTGCTCAACATTATTAGTCATTAGGGAAATGCAAATTAAAACTACAATGTGATGCCACTTCATACACACTAATATGGATATAATAAAAAAGACATTAACAAATGTTGGCAAGGATGTGGAGAAACAGGAACCCTCATGCATTGCTGGTAAGGATGTAAAATGGTGCAGCCACATTAAAAAACCGTTTGGCATAAATTTACTCTATGACCCAGCAATTCTAGTCTTACTCAAGAGAAATGAAAACATATCCACACAAAGGCTTATATGCAAATGTCCATAGCAACATTATTCATAATAGTCCAAAAGTAGAAACAATCCAAATGTAAATAAAATGTGGTATATCCACACAATTGAATAGCCAACAATAAAAAGAAATGAAATAGTGATATACGTCATAATGATCTTCAAAAACACTAAGAATGCAAAAGACCAGATGCAAAAGAGAATATACTGTATAACTTAATTTATATGAAATGTCCAGAAAAGACAAATCTCTAGATGCAGAAAGTAAACTAGCGGTTCCCTAGCAGTGAGGGTGGGTACAGAAACTAATTATAAATGTGCACAGGGATCTTTTGGGGATGAAAGCAATGTTTAAAAACAAGTGTAGTCACTGTTCCAAAGCTTGTAAATTTACTAAAAATCATTGAACAGTACAGCTAAATGGGTAAGTTTTGCAGTATATAAATGTTACTTCAATAAATCTGTTTTTTAAAAATTCCGCGCCATTCTTATATATCGCACCTGAGAGACTGAAAAAGGCTGAAATAGCAGAAAGGACAAAAAAAATAGGGATTAAATAGAAAAGAAATTGATGACTGAAAGTATAAACATGCAGGAAAAAAACAGAAACTCCTAAAGCAACCACAAAATGATGGTTTCTTATAGAGCACTTTAGTAAAATTTTCCTTTTCACATATACTTACTGGCAACTGGGACATAATTTTATCCAGACGTCTCAGTTCTACCCTTGAACTTTCTATTTCTTGCTGACATACATCCAGTCGTTCATTCTGTGTTGCAATACGGACCTTTAATTCTCGGTTTTCATTCATTAGAGAAAATTTTTCTCGAAGTATTTCATCTTTGTCCTCTAACTCACTCTCTAGCTTCAAAATACTTTGTCTAGATTCAGATAGTTGCGCCATGACTTCTGAATTTTTCACTGCCATCATTCTTAATTTTTCTTTTCCACTGTTATTTTCTTCTTTTAACTGCCTGTGAAGAAAACAGCATAAAGTGTATATTCATTTTCAATAATATTTAGTTAATCTCACGTAAAATATTTTAAAGCTTAATTTTGAAATACCTGTTCAGATTTGCCATGTACCTATTTCTTGCATGCCAGGCACTCACAACCTTATGTGGTAGCACTATTATTACTCCCTGTTTATAGATGGAGAAACTGAGGCGCAAAAAGGTTATGAAACATGCCAGGTGTTTCACAGTAAGTAGTAGGGCAGGATAATCCCACTATCTTGGAAGCAACTGCTCCTTTTTTAAAAGTGTAAAACAGGCCCTGGCTGATGTGGCTCAGTTGGTTGAGCATTGTCCCATGCACCAAAAGGTCCTCGGTTCAATTCCCAGTCAGGGCACACGCCTGGGTTGCAGGCTTGATCCCCAGTAGGGGGTGTGCAGGAGGCAGCCAATAGATCTCTCTCTCTCTCTAGAACCAATAGAAACATTTTAAAAAAATAAGTAAATAAAAGTGTAAAACAGGAGACCTAACTCCAAAATCCTGACACACTATTTTGTAGCATTAAGGAAGTTTTAGATCATATAAGGAAAAACCATGAACTAGCAGCCACAACTCTACAAGGGAAAGTCTAATCAACCATTAACAGATTACTAGGCATTAATATTTTCAAATATATATACCTATAAATACATGTCAAACATTAGAATAATCTAATCTTTAGAATTGTTATTGTATTTCATCAGTTCCCTTTTTCACATTTTTAAGGTCTCTGAAATGAGAAGCTGAACTAGGTGATTCTTCATAATTTGAAGAATACATATCTTACTAACTAGCTAATTAATGTGGTCAGACTGTAAGAATGTCTGTGTTAATTTTCTCTAAATATATGCAAAGCATAAATGTTGATCATATTACTCTATATTTATAAGTATATTAACATCAACATACATTTTATTCATTTAAAATCCTAACTTCATTATACCTAGAAAACAATTTGTCATGAAGCCTTATCTTTCCACATAATTTAAGGCCATAATTAAAATATACAAAATATTCTATTCCAAAATGTTTCAGTTTTTTTCTTCATTTCCACACAAAAATTCTTTTTCTACAACAGGATACTGTACCTTAATTTCTCTTTCAGAATTTCAAGGTCACTTTTATATAGACCACACTTTTCCTGTAGCCTTTTATTTTCTTTTTCACAATTAATTAGATTTTTCTCTAATATTTCTTCTTCAGCTTGAACCTAAAACAATAATGTGTTTTAAGTGGGCATACTACTGTTGTCATAGGTTTTAGGTTTTTCAAACTAAAAAGTAGTGATTTTAGAAATAAGCAGGAGAGTAGAATAAATATTCCACCCATTAAAGTTCCCAACCTTATAATAAAGGGAGCAAAGTGAACTTCCTGAATAGGGAATGGAATTCTAACCTGTTCAGAAATGGTTAAGAGCCTATGACAGCCGGGCAATAGCGTAAGTGTTCTGGCCTTACACGGACAAGTCAAGCAACTCATGCAGGGACTGTGCATGAAGTTACTAAAGGCTAACTTTAGTGCAAACGCTCCAGAGAAGTAATTTTTGAAAGTGTAGCCACAAAATACTCCCACTGAAATCACAGTCCAAAATTCAAAACAAAAGCTAAGTACTCAGTATGAGAGGGCAGGAGTGGAGGACTAGGCAGATCACCCTCCCTTCCTTGTTACACCTACCTAACTACAGGGCTCTGCTGAGCAGTTTGAAATTGATAATCATAAAGAGATATAAAAAATCATCTCTTATAGTTTCCTCTCTTTCCTTTATGAAGACCTCCCTCTTCTCAAGGATACCCCCCCACAAGTTATTCTACCTCCCCCTATAGATTACCTTATTAAAAATCCCTCCCATGGTACTTCCCACAGGGACCTTCTCCAAGGCTTTCAGAACAGTGATCTAATTAATTCACACATAAGGTGTGGTATCAAATGGGATTTTGATTTCTTAATTTTTAATAACAATATTTCTTTCTTCTAGCCTTCTACCTTTCTTTAATCAGAATTATTAACTTTCTCTGTTTCAGTTATTATCTCAAGATGGAAATCTCTCATAGAATCTGTTGATTAGACCTCTCTCTGAGCTCAACCACTGAATATCCAACATTTGGCCTTCCTCCAAACAGGTTTTATCATCATGTGGTATTACTTGAAGATAGCAAATGAATGTAATAAAGCCACTATATTACTATGAAGAATCTGTTCAGGAACATTCCCTTTGACAGGCAGAAGTGAGCCGCTCTGACAGTTCGAGGGAGATCAATTGGAGCCTACTTAATCTACTCTGTCTTCATTTTCACTGAGGTGATGGGAACAAATTTCCTGCTTCTATTCCAATAGCTCCAGCTCCTGCTCACTCACCCCATCCCATCTTTCTCTATATTTTGTTTCTTCTCTTGTCTCCACTATTTTCTCTCTTTGGATAAAAAAGTTTCTGCTTATTATAAGATTGTGAAAATCATCCTTAACTAATATTTTTGAATTCTTTATTTCAATGACTTTATTTTGAATGAGACCATAAAAATTATTCCTTGCTTTAATCAGAAATAAACATATTCTATTTATGCCTCTCTTTATTTTTAGAATATGGACAATAATAAAAAACACTGACTTTGTACAACTGCCTCTTACCTTTTCTAGCTTTTCAGCCACTTTTTCTTTATAATGTTGGAAAGCTTTACTCAGCTCTTCAGCATTATATAGTGCTTCATTCCTTTGTCGTTCAGCTCTGAAATTTAAAAAGGGATAATTAATAAAAGCAAAGAATGCCCTGCATTTGAATAGTTAAGTTCCAAAGTAACCTATATTTAAATTTAAGTAATAATTAGAGAGAAGCAGACTTCTCAGTACTAAAAAGAAGAGTATTAGGCTTAAAATGCAAAATAAAGAATGAAGATTAAACTACAATAATTTTCTCACTATAAAATATCAATATAAAAAGTAAAATATAACAAAATATTTATAAATATACTTTAAATCATACGTACATTCTATGTGTTGGCAATATTTTTTCCTCAGTCCAGAAAAGACAGATTAGGGAAGTAGCCTGAGGCTGTATGATAAATTTTCAAAGAAAAAGTATTACAGAATCAGTCCACTGTCTAGTACATTAAAAATACTCAGTAAAGCCCAGCTGGCATGGCTCAGTGGTTGAGCATCAACCTATGATCCAGGAGATCACAGTTCAATTTCTGGTCAGGGCACATCCCTGGGTTGTGGGCTTGATCCCCAGCAGGGGGCGTGCAGGAGGCAGTCGATCAATGACTCTCATCATTGATATTTCTCTCTCTCTCCCTCTCTCCCTTCCTCTCTCTGAAGTCAATAAAAATACATTTTTAAAAAACAAACTCAGTAAACCCAGTGACCTTTGCAAAGGACAGGTAAATTTTCAAAAACGTATTTCAAAAGACAGTAACTTCTATTGATACAAGATATAAAAATCTGAACAAAATCCAACCACCACCAAGCACTGTCTTAAGCCCAACCATGCTGCCTCACCTCTTAGCTGACCCTGACCTTTCATCATACTTCTCACACTGAACTGAGACTATTAGGCTGGAACTTGGTAAATTTCCTATTCACACCTAAAAACTTTTCTAGCCCTGGCTGAGTAGCTCAGTTGGTTAGAGCAATGCCCCCATAGACCAAGTTTGTAGGTTTGATCCCTTCAGGGCACACATAAGAATCAACCAATGAATGCATAAATAAGTGGAACAACAAATATATGCTTCTCTCTCTCTGTGTTTCTCTCTCTCTAAAATCAGTAAACAAAATAAAAAAAAAACACACAACTTTTCTATATTTAAACCCATTCTCATCACATTCTTTCCAGTGTAAGGGAAATTCAGTGACTCTTACCCAAGGTGAATTCCTTTATCTATACTCTTGATCTTAGCTCTTTCCTTTGAGGAGTTTACTCTAACTTACGTATTTCAGTCTCTTCTCTATTGGCTTACGAGCTCAAGTAAAAGTATCCCTTATTTTCTGGGTTTTTAAAAATCCTCACTCAAAGATATTTTTTCCATTGCTACTTCAGAGAGAGTGGAAGGGGGAGAGAGAAGGAGAGAGAAACATCAATATGAGAGAAACACATCGATTGGTTGCCTCCTGCATGCCCCCCCCCATCAGGGCCAAGGTTCAAGCCTTCAACCGAGGTACGTACCCTTGGCTGGAACTGAACCTGGGACCCTTTAGTCTGTGAGCCAGTACTCTAACCACTGAGCCAAACTGGCTAAGGTGCCCTTATTTTCTAAATGTGTGGTTCTTAAGTCTGGATAGCAACTGTGGATATAGGAGGTATCTATTTCATTCTGAAGTTTCAGATAAAAAATAGAATTTAAATAGTAAGGGATTTATCTGAAAATCTAAGAAATTTGCAAAGCTAGAATTCAGAGAGCAAAGGACACCTGTATTTCTTAACAAAACAAAAACCCCCATACATATTGTACCTTCCTCTGTCATCCTTCCTTTCGAGCCAAACTTATCCTCTTTATAGTTATCTACTCCTCTTCACCACCAGTTAAAAAAAAAGTCCTAACATATTTCAGCCACACAGAACCATATGGATGTATATACATCTATGCACTCCCAACCCAATTTTAATGAATCTTAACTCTGCTATTTTTGTTTCACGTAGACTTATTTTTATTAAATTTATTGGGATGACAATGGTTAATATGAACATATTGGTTTCGGGTGAGCCACACCAGCCAGGCTCCCTTCTATGTTTATGTTGTCACAAATTATCCATCTTCATGCTGTAAGTTTTTTGGTGATCTTACTCGTAGTGTTGTGACCTTACGTTCTTTGTTTCAGGTAGAATAGCTCCCTTGAGTATTTTCTGCAATGGAGGTTTTCCGGTGATAAAATCTCTAAGCTTCTGTACGTCTGGGAACATCTTTATTTCTCCTTCATATTTAAAGAATAATTTTGCTGGATATATTGTTTGTGGCTGGTAATTTCTTTCAGATGTTTGAATATTTGGTTCCACTCTCTTCTGGCCTGTAGAGTTTCTGCTGAGAAGTTGGATGAAATTCTGATGGGTTCTTCTTTGTAGGTCACTTCCTTATTTTCCCTGGCTGCTTTGAGAAATTTTTCATTGTCATTAATTTTTGACATTTTTAATACAATGTGCCTTGGAGAGGGACTCTTTGAATTGAGGTAACTAGGTGTTCTGTCTGCTTCTTGGATCTAAGGATCTAGTTCTTTTCACAGGTTTGGGAAGTTCTCATCCACTATTTGTTTGAATAGACTCTCTGTTCCCCTCTCCTTCTCTTCTTCTTCTGGAACGCCTATTATTCTAATATTGCTTTTTTTCCCTGATGGAGTCAGTTCTCATAGAGCTCTTTCATTTTTCTTTATGCTCAGGTCTCTCTCTTCCCTCTGTCTCATTTCTAGATTCCTATCTTCAATATCACTAATTCTTTCCTCCATCTGGTTGGCTGTGTTTTCTATGCTTGGTAGCTCATTCCTAATCTCTTTAACTGCGTGCTTCATTTCCAGGATTTCTGACTGGTTCTTTTGTAAAGTTTCAATCTTTTTGGTAAAGTACTCATTTTGTTCATTGATTTGCTTCCTGAGTGCACCAAATTGTCTGTCTGTATTTTCTCACATCTTGTTGAGTATTTTCAGAACTGCAATCTTGAAACCTCTATCACTTATATCACATATTTCCATGTGTTTCAGCTTACTTTCTGGGGATTTTTCATTTTTTCTTATCATCTTTGTTACCACGGTTATTCATGGTATTTGCTACTCTCCTTTGTGTAGGCATAAATATCCCTTCTATAGCAGCATTCTCTGAAGAAGTCTTTCTACTATTTTCCAGTAAACAGCACTGAATCGCAAGATTTTTTTACCTCTGTGATCTCCCAGACTTGACCTCCACGGCTTCTGTAAGAGTTCAGCTGCGCTGCTTTGGGGTGGGATTTATTTTGCCCTTATTGTAATGGCAACTCCAGACTCCAGACCTAAGTGGGGTACAGCCCCAAGCACCAAACCCAAGGATCAATCACAGAGGGAAACAGCAGTTCCACTACAATAGCTCTTGATTTACAGATAAAATGTTCCTGGACCCAACACCAGGGCAACGGAAGGCAAGTTTTGGGAGTCCAAGGGGCAGCAGGGCTCTGTAACTCTGTTTCTTTGCTAGAAACACCCCCACCTGACAGTGGATATCCACATGGCAGAACCCTGCACTCTGTCAGGTGTCTGCTGGCTCAGTCACTGTTCACTCTGCTCAACCTGATGGACTGGCTCCCGCAGCAATCTGTTCCTCCTGGCTGAAGGAAGCGCCTGCTGCCTTCGGCTTCCTCCTCTCCCCTGGCTGTGCCTCGCGCTCCTGGCTACACCTCAAACTCCCAGCTGCAGGGCTGAGTCTGCGGACCATCCGAGCTTTCCTCCCTTCTCATCTCCCAGTTTATTCCCAGTGTCTTTAGATGTTTCAATGCACATGTCTCTCAGATGTACCTCTGTATTGAGTAAGGAATTCTTTGTTGAATTATAATTGGTTAATTTATTGCAATTTCAGGGGGAGAGGCCAAGGTTATCTTTCATGTCGCCATTGCTCTGACATCACTCTCTCATTTTGAATTTCAGAATATTTAACCATACAGTTTACACTTACAAGAAGTACATTTGTTAGTGTTTATTATTCAAGAGGCACCTGACATTTCTTTTTTCATTTAATTCTTATACCAAGACAATATCACCTTGATTTAATAGATGAACAACTGAGAAACTGAGATTCAAGAAGGTTAAATAATTTGCCCAATGTAACAAAGCCACTGAGAGGTAAAATCTGGTTATTTGACTCCAAAACCTAAATATTACCACTAACTAATAGTGCCTACCAAATATATATTGTAACTAGAACTAGACTAACCAAATGCTGCTGGGAAAATATTCTTCCAAACCCATTTTAATGAAAAATGACTTAAAGATAGGTTTTTAGAAATTCAAACGCAAATAAATATTTAATCTATTTATAACTTTTCAAAATATACTCCCTTGTAACTATTTATACCATATATACATTTTCAAAATATTTTTATTGTAAAAGATAAAAATACAGATGATTTTACTCTATGTAAAAGCTGTTTTAATTACATTATTATATTGTAAAATCTCATTAATTTAAACTAAAGCTTTTAAATATTAGTTTAAAAGTTAATTTACATTCAAAGTTAATGGTTCCTAGGTCAAGGCTACCTAGAAAACTTTATCTTAAGACATGGTTTAAATAAAATCAAATTTTTTTTTTTTTTTTTTTTACATTACTTATGTATTCCTTAAGGAAGACCCAAAGACACTTTTCTCATGAATTTTATGTAAGTTGTGAAACTTAATTTCAGAAATAAGTAAATATCGTTACCTTGATAAGCATTATTAGGCTTCTAGGAATTAACCCCAATCAAGAATGCCAATAACATAAAATCCACATATGAATAAAAATGGACAAAAAAGAAAATTAAGTTATTCTACTGGCAAATTTCTGAAAATTTTCCACTTCAAAACTTGGCTAGAATTTTAAATAGGTAATATATTCTTTGTTTCCCTTACAAAAAAAAAATTACTTGCTTTAAAAACACATACCTCTTTCCTTGTTTACTCTGTTCAAGTAAGTCCACCTTCAACTTTATACATTCCTCTTGGGACTTCTGCAAACTTTGTTCCTTTTCAATCACTGTTTTTTGACTCTGCTCTAATTTATCTTCTGCCTCTCTATAAAATAAAAGGATATTTTTAAAGGTTATTGAAGAGATTATGCAAGTATGCAAAAAATAGTTCAACATTAGGAATTCTGTTAGTTAAACCAGAGTTAAGAGAAATTAATATTTAGAGATAGAGAAAGGGCATATTTATCATTTAACAACTAGTTTTAGTACAGAATAAAAGAATACTCCCATCAAATTATAAATATACAGTTAATATCCTATTTCATGGTCAGATACTAAAAGCATTACCATGTAGTTTAGAGACCAGATAAGAATGACTGTTAACAGCACTATATCCAATGATTTTTTTCCTGACAGTTGTAAAAATGAAAATGTAATAAGTGTAAATAAATGAAAGAAAAGATAAAATTTACTTTTTTTTGCTGATATCATTAGCTACCTAGAAAATCCAAGAGAATAAAATGAAAAATTATTAGACTTAATAAAAGAGTATGACAAACAGTCCAATTACAAAATAAAAGCAGCAGCTTTCCCTTATACTATCAGTGAACAAAACAAGAACAAATTCACAATCAAAATATACAATACTTAGGACTAAACATAATATATGTGTCTTAAAGGAATCTGCAAAATTCTAATGGTCATGAGAGACGACTTTAGTGTATATCTAAATCATCTGCAGGACTCATTAAAACATAAGACTGTGCCCTGGCCGGGTGGTCAGTTGGTTCGAGCATTGTCCCATACACCAAAAAGGTTGCAGGTTCGATTTCTGATCAGGGCACATACCTAGGTTGTGAGTTCAGTCCCTCACTGGAGCAAGTACAGGAGGCAACCCATTGATGTTTCTCTCACATTGATGTTTCTCTTACATCAATGTTTCTTTCTCTTTCTCTCTTTCTCTCTCTCTCTCCCCTTCCTCTCTCTTTAAAATCAATAAACATACCCTCAAGTAAGGATTAAAACATAAATAAATAAACAAACAAACAAATAAATAAATAAGATCTATTCTCAAATTTTAAAAAAATGAAACATAAAGATTGCTGGGTCCTGCCTGGTTGGGCGTGGCTCAGCGGTTGAGCGTCGACCTAGGATCCAATGGATCGGGGTTCGATTCCCGGTAAGAGGACATGCCCAAATTGCGGGCTCGANGGTTGAGCGTCGACCTAGGATCCAATAGATCGGGGTTCGATTCCCGGTAAGAGGACATGCCCAAATTGCGGGCTCGATCCCCAGTTGGGGGTGTGCAGGAGGCAGCCAATCAATGACTCTCTCATCATTGATGCTTCTATCTCTCTCTCTCCCTCTACTTTCCTCTCTGAAATCAATAAAGCTATATTAAAAAAAAAAAAAAAAAGATTGCTAGGTCCCTCCTTTAACAGATTGTGATTCAGTAAATATGCAAAAGGACCTGAGATTTGCATTTTTAACAAGTTCCCAAATGATGATAATACTGTTAGTCCCAGAACTACACTTTGAGAATCACTAAAATGAAGTAATGTGCACTTTAGTATGTATATATTTTTTATTTCAAAGCAGAAGAGGATATATTATAAATCGATTCCTTGTATTTTATTTCTCGAACTCCCACTGAAGTACTGAGTATATATTACTATGTAAGGCAAGAAATAAACTAGTTCATATTTAATAAAAGCATGTAAATAAGTATCTCAGCCTAGATTTAGTCTTTTTTTAGTCCCCATATACTGCATGGATCTTGTAGCCAAGAGGAGTGATGATGGACTTAACACAGATTCAACACATTCTAACATAGTTTATAGTCCACTACAGATTTATTGGGACAGTCTATGAGATTTAACAACATATATGAAAAGGCAGAGGCAGGAAATAAAATTTTTAAAGCTGTAAAAAGTATACTTACCTCAAAACTTTATCTTGGGCTGAAACTTCTGCTTCCAAATTTATAATCTGTTCTTCTAAGATGGGCACATTGGCTGCCTGTTGTTGAACAGATTCAAGCATAGAGACCTAAAACAAACAAGGGAGTTCCTAAATGGTGGAAGTCAGTGATCTCTCTGCTTGTTCTTTTTTCTGTTTTTAAAGTTTAAAAAAAAAAAGTTTTTCAACAAGAGAATGTATTGCCCTGGCCATTGTGGCTCAGTGGTTAGAGTGTTGGCCCATGCACCAAAGGGTCAAGGGTCTGATTCCTGGACAAGGGCACATACCTGGATTGCAGGTTGGATCCCCGGCCCTGGTTGGGGCATGTGCGGGAGGCAACCAATCAGTCTCTCTCTCTCTCTCCCTCCCTCCTTCCCTCCCTCTCTCCCTCCTCTCCTTCCCTTCCACTCTCTCTAAAAAATCTATGGAAAAAATATTTTCAGGTGAGGGTTAACAACAACAAAAAGAATGTGTTATTTTAAAAAGGAAGATAAATAAGTTATATTTCCTTTGTACAAGAAATAAAACCACACAAATTGGTAATCTTAAGATTTTAAATGCGCTCTCCCTCCCGGGAGCACAGCCAAGCCTTTCCCCTCTCCACCTTCTTCCTCCACAAGCATGCATCTCATAAACCTTAAGGAACCCCAAGAGGCTTGCAACCAGGGTAGGCATGGACAGCAGCAGTTTGTCCCAGGCAAACCCCCTGAACCTATCCCCAAGGCCCCCTTTTCTCTGACTTCTTAGTAGGCCAAGCAACCCAGCCTATGCTCATTTCCCCACCTAGTCCTTCTCCTGTTATCCTTGGCCCTTCCTTGTTCCACTGTCCCCAGCTTAATAAACGTCCTCTAAAGTTAAAAAATAAAATAAGATTTTAAGAAGCTCTGACTTATCTAAGTGCACAGACTATACAAGTTTCCCTGAATCATTTTCAGATATTAAATTCACATAAAACTGATTCCATAACATACTGATACTGTATTATCATAATAAAAATTACTCATAACACATTAAAGCAATACAAGGAATATTTTTCCAATTATAAATCTTTATGTAATTATAATGATTTTCTGTTGGAATGGTCATCACTTCAAGAAACATACTTTGGCTCTTGACTGTGTTAATTCAAAGTGCACAGATTCGATTTTAGTCATTAAACAATGATTCTGTGAGACCAAACAGGCATTCTGTTGCCTAAGTTTATTAAGTTTATCTCGAAGACTTCTCATCTCCTGATCCATGGGGTTAGAAGATGAAAACAATATCTGAAAAATCAAAAAGAACAATCTATTATTTTATTAAGCATTGCATGTAATTAATGGAAAATGATGAATAATATCTATAAAATAACTAAATAGCTCAAAAAATGATTTAAGATATTTAGTGAGTGTTGGTGAGGAGATGTGAAACAATCAAGTGCCCTCTCTGCCACTGCTGGTGGACATGTACATAAATAAGTACAGCTTGGAACGTTGGAAAAGCTCTTAGCATTATCCAGTAAAGCTGAATATGCTAAGACTCAACAGTTTTAATTCTGGGTATTAATCTGACAGAAACTTTTGTAATTTTGCACCTGACGATATAAAAATATCCACAGCTACATTGTCCATAAGAGACAATTAATGGAATGGACTCAAATGTTCACCAATAAAATGGATTTGGATAAAAGATTCTTTAAACAGTATAGATATTTCTATCACACTCTTCTGAATATATATTTTACAATAAATTATTTTAATTTTCATGAGGGTTGAGGTTTTCAAAACCTGATTTAATTAGTTTCTTAATAATATATTATGCAACTCAAAAGTCAAAACTATATAAAAAAGCGCACACAGCCCTGCTGGCATAGCTCAGCAGTTGAGCATCAAACAATGATCCAAAAGGCTGTGGTTCAATTCCCAGTCAGGGCACATGCCCAGGTTGCGGACTCGATCCCCAGTATAGTGCGTACAGGAGGCAGCCAATCAATGACTCTCTCATCTTTGATGTTTCTCTCTCTCTCTGAAATCAATAAAAACATATTAAAAAAAACATACACACACAGAAGTCTTATTCTCATCTTTTAGTAGTTATATAACCAGTTTTATAAGTTTCCCATTTATAANTATAGTGAGTACAGGAGGCAGCCAATCAATGACTCTCTCATCTTTGATGTTTCTCTCTCTCTCTGAAATCAATAAAAACATATTAAAAAAAACATACACACACAGAAGTCTTATTCTCATCTTTTAGTAGTTATATAACCAGTTATATAAGTTTCCCATTTATAAATTTTTAACACCACTCATACAGCAAAAAATAGGAAACATCTTATATAGGAGTTATTAATTAACTTATCTTTTAAAAAATATATGTTTCATTGATTTTTAGAGAGAGAGGAAGGGAGAGGGATAGAGAGATAGAAGAATCAATGAGAGAGAAACATCATTGACTGGCTGCCTCCTGCACACCTCCTACTGGGGATCAAGCCCAAAACCCAGGCCTGTGCCCTGACCAGGAATCGAACTGTGTGACCTCTTAGTTCCTGGGTCAATGCTCAACCATTGAGCCACACATGCCATGTAGTTAACTTATAATCTTAATAAATCCTAGCCTTCTAGTGTTTTATATGCATATACAAGCAATACAAATTATCCATGCCCACACTTTTTTATGCAAAAAAATTGCATACTATCTACAGTCAGCCCTTCACATCTACTGATTCCGCTTCTATGGATTCAGCCACAGATCAAAACTATGTGGAGGCCACCATCCTGGTTCCCCATTCCCTGTACAAAATGCCCAGTGAAGCCACAGAAACCGTCCCTGCTACAGAGCAAGAGTTGCCACAGCCCCAGGCTGAGACAGGGTCTGGAACAGAATCTAACAGTGATGAATCAGTACCAGAGCTTGAGGAAAAAGATTCCACACAGGCAATCACATAACAAGCCCAGCTGGTGGCAGCAGCTGAAATGAGTGAAGAACCAGTCAGTAAAACAAAACAGCCAGAGTGAAAAGAAGACATGGAAGGCTATGTCCAAACTGGGTCTTGGAAAGGTTACAGGAGTTACTAGAGTCACTATTCTGAAATCTAAGAGTATCTTCTTTGTCATTATAAAACTAGGTGTCTGCAAGGGCCCAGCTTCAACTACCTAGTCTTGAGGAAGCCAAGATTGAAGATTGAGCACAGCTAGCTAGTAGCTGCTGAGAAATTCAAAGTTCAAGGTAAAGCTGTTTCACATTCAAGAAAACACACAGACTCTAACTGTACAAGAGGAGAGTGAAGAGGAAAAGGTGGATGAAACAAGTGTGGAAATTATAATTTAAGGACATAGAACTGCTTATGTCATGAGCAAATGTTTCAAGAGCAAAGGCAGTCTGAGCCCTGAAGAACAGTGATATTGTAAATGCTATTATGGAATTAACAATATAATCATCTAAAAAGAAGGACCTTTTTTTGGTGTTTTGAAAGATTTACTGCAGCTTGGTTTGAAATTTGTACTGTTTCTATTATTAATAAAGTTATGGCTTCTTGTGGGGGGGGAATATTTGGGGGAAAAAAGTTACCTGGTTGCTAACATGTACTATCTAGTTAGGCCTACAATGTTTGTGTCTGTATTGAACACGTACAGATTTTCTGTCATTATTCCCTAAACAATACAGTATAACAACTATTTACATAGCATTTACATTGTATTAGGTATTATAAGTAATCTAGAGATGATTTAATGTATATGGGAGGATGTGCATACTTTATAAGCAGGTACTATACCATTTTATATGAGGGACATGAGCATCTGCGGNCATACGTTATAAGCAGGTACTATACCATTTTATATGAGGGACATGAGCATCTGCGGATTTTGGTATCTGCAGGGGATCCTGGAACCAATCCCGCAAGGATCCCGAGGGATGACAGTATATCATTCTGAACTTAGCATTTTTTACTTAAATGTATATCCTCACACTCTCTCCAAAATCAATTCAGTGAGAAATTCCTGCTTTTTTATTTCATCAGCTAGTGTTCATTGCATGTTTATTCAACCAATCCTCTATTACTGGACACTTGAGAGCTATTTCTAATCTGTTAAGACAAATAATGCCTCAGTTTGTACTTATGCAGGTGTTACCTGTAGGATAATTTTATAGAAATGGGACTTACAAGTCAACGGTAAACACATTTGTGATCTTGGCAAACATTACTAAAGGCCTCTCCATAGGGGCTGTATGATTTTGCATTCCTACCAGCAATGTATTAAGAGTACCTATTTCCTCCTAATTTTACCAACAAAATAGTATCAAACATCTGGGTGTTTAACAATCTGTTAGGTAAGAACTGGTACCTAAGTATAGTTTCATTATAAATTTCTCTTATTATAAGTGAGACTGAACATCTTTTTATTTGTTTGGAGATCATATTAATTTCCTTTTCCATATATGTCTTTTCCCTCTTTTTCTACTGGGTTGTTGATCTTGTCTTCTTTTTAGAAGCTCTTTGTGTTTAATCGGCATTACTAATACTTTTCCCCCTCCAATTTGTCATTTGTCTTTTGATTTTGCTTAGGGTAAAACATAATGATTTCAACTAAGGCATAAAGACTATGAAAAAAATAATCAGCTATTTGAATTAGGATAGAGATACAATTTTCCAGAATGATATATAATCTTTGTAGACATGGAATTTGAATTCACTTTCCAAAATGTAGGCTCAGTTATATAGCTTCATTAAGCACCTTCCTTACAAAAAGAAAACCTTTCAATTGTTAGCTTTCTGAAGTGGTGAGAGCAAATTTTTATCAAAAAAGATCATGATGTGCATATGAAACCACATGTATATATTCATGCTGACAGTGGGGTAATAAAGGACAGGAAGAAGAGTGGAAAGGGAGATAAAAGGGTTGAGTAAGAAAGAGGGGTAAACACCGGTAGATAGATAATATGATGGAATAAAAAAAAAGGGAGAGAGTAAGTTCCAGACCAGGGAAGTTATTTAAGATCATCCCCAAAATTTGGGGATAATGAAAGGAGAATAATGCCATGCTATAGCACCCTAACCCAGGTCAAACAGTAAGTATAGTTTAACAACAATAAATAATTGATTGCCTATTATATACATGGTATAGTGCTAAAATCAAGGAGGTTATAATTTATTTGAGAAAACAAGACATTTAACTGCAAAAGGCAATAAATACAGAAGTTTAAAAATAGAATGATACACCAAATTAACTACTTCCTCTTAAGATGAGACAAGAACCATTATATTTAAATTCAACAAGTCTTCAGCATGGTAGTAAAAGACTATGGAAAACATGCAGAAGGCATTTAAAGAAAAAACTCAAAGAAGAAGGTATTTTAAGTAGGTCAAAAACTAAACCATTTTTAAGTAGAGAGGTCTAAAAACAGTAACCTTATCTCTTGGCTGTTTTTGAAAATCAGTACCACTAACGGGCATTTTACAAGTTTTTTTATAAGATGAGTAATTCGAAAGCCCACACTGGCTGGGCTGAGAAAGATCTTCCAGAATCAGCCTTTCCGACCGTGAGGGATCACAGGCATAATTGGAATTTTCACTTGGACTAACACTAGAGAAAAAGAAAAAATGCATTTTAGTTTTCAGATAGTTTAAGTATTCACTCCAAATTTCTATACATTAAATGAGAAATAAAGAAAAGCATCTGAAATGCTGCTGGAAATCAGATTCACCCTTACAAACTTAAGGCAATGCTTCAACTAAATTTTTAAATAAACCATAATTAATTTTAAACTAGCAATCTGTGTATTTCTAGAGCTTCTGTGCTAGAATTACTTGTTTCAAAAAGCAGTCATAACAGATAAAGCCTAAAATATATATTTCATACTGTATATATGCATGTGTATTATATTAGATATACGGTGTTTTCTTAATATATAAATGATTCTCTAATATTTCTATTTTTTCCTAAGCTGAATTATATTCAAAATTATAGGACATTATTTCTTCTTCTAGAGACATATTAGAAACACAATACTACTGAAATTCATACATTTTACATTCATAAATGAAAGCCATACTCTGAATTCTATATGTGATTTTACTTACCTGGATAACTCTTCGCCTAAATTCTGCAAACTCCATTCTGTTATCTTCAGTTCATGTCTTAAGGAAGCAACATTTGCAAGCAAACTTTGTTCTTCATTGTCTTTCTTATGGTAGTTTGATGAATTAGATTCCATTTCTTAAAAAAAGAAATTAATTTCTTGTACCTTGCCAAAAAGAATGTGGTGTCAGTCAAAATATTCTCACACTAATAGAATTTAACTCATTATTTTTCTTTTTCTTTTTTAAAAAAATATATCTTTATTGATTTCAGAGGGATAGAGAGATTTCAGAGGGTTAGAGACATAGAAACATCAATGATGAGAGTCATTGATCAGCTGCAGCCCGCAACCCAGGTATGTGCCCTGACCGGGAATCGAACCCCGATCACCTGGATCCTAGGTCGACGCTCAACCGCTGAGCCACGCCTGGCTGGCCCTCATTATTTTTCTATTTCAAATGCTGTGAAAACCTTCATGGTAATTTAAAACAAACAAAAACAACAGTAATTTTTCTGCAGTGTAAAGCCGTAATGGAAAGTTCTATAGAATTTCAGTGAATCAAGTTTTCATTACAGCCAGGGTCTAGTTATTATAATAGTTCCCCTTTTGTAAGCACATTTAATCTTTCAAACAATTGTGTAAACTAAGAATTTTTATTCCATGTTAAAGATGAAGAAAATAAGAATAAGGCAAATTAAATAATATACTCAACGTCACACAAACTGTAAACGATGGAACCAAAATTTGAACCGAAGTCCTCAGGATCCAAAGACCTTTTAATTGTCACACTGCAATTTTCTCATTATAGATCGATTTCAATATGAGATGTTTGAAGTTACATAATCACATTAGAAGCTCTGAACATCTGATAAAATTGGTATCATTACAGTCATTCATATTTTCTTAAAGGCAATTTATTACCAGATAAAAATTATCCCTTCTCCCATTCGCAATGGTTATAAAATTTAAAAAGCACACACATTCACACCACAACCACAAAGATCAAAATAACTTTTGGTAGGTTACCTCATAGAAATATATGAAGAAAAGCTTTTGTTTCTTCAACTGAAGTGTATCTCTAGGGTTGCAAAATTCTCTAAATATCTTTGCACAGAAAAATCACGATAAAAGGCCACATTTTATTAATAATTAATATGTATAATTATTACATTAAAATCCATGTTGTTCATAATTAATATTCAAATGAAAACTTTATCATCTCTTACTCCTACCTTTTTCTGCATAATCTTAAAATAACATTCCTCTTTCAGATCCCATTTACCTTTATCATTGTAGCATCTCTCTTTCATCGCCCTTCTGGAATTCTGACCACATCTCAAGCTCCAAATAGCTAGGAGTCCTGTGAATTACGTTCAGGACTGTAAGGCACTTACAGTCAATATACTCAGTTGAGCACTTATAGTCAATTTAGCAATAAATTATTACTACCCTGCCTTTCCTTCCCCTCATTCAGCTAAAATATTATACTTATTCCGTACTCAAAATTTCACAGAGGAGAAAGATTAAAAAGAAAACTCTCACCTTGATGGAAGAAACTATGAAAGGAAATTAAACGATACTATGTAATCTTAGAGAAAATCCTTTTTCCTCTTTTGCTTCCACGAATTTGCTTCTGCTTAAGTATTAAGAAGACTCCCAGACAAAAGTCAATGTATCAGGTCCCCATTCTGCTTTATCTTTTCAGCATCTCTAGTTTCCTACAGGATGGTGAAGGAAAAAGGAGTAAAGAAAATATGGGTAAATTCTAGAATGCCACTCGATATCATGGTTCAACTAGATCAGGTTTTATGTCCAACATCTTCCGCGTTATTTTAATGTAAGAATTCTCAAACTCTTCTGAAGTATCAACGAATACATTTGATATTCAAATATTTTCTTTTTCTTAGCGGGCTATTTATTCTCAAATGAAGAGTCCTTCTCCCTTCAGTAGTCATAAAAATCTACCTTCATTGCCTGTATGTATGTGGAAAAGCACATGCTACCTACATCATCTTTCGGCTCTGATAGCAATGCGTTTGTAGCTGTTCACAAGCACACCCATCGCAACGAAAAACAAGCGCTCTGTGTATACCCCCGTATGCAACAGGACGGGCTGTCGCGGAAAAAGATTTCCGTATCCAGAACGCTCAACCGGACAGAAGCGATCCTACGTTCATCTGGAAGAATGGGCCAAATATGACATCTTCCTCTCCCTTTTGCTACTAAAATATAACCGGCCAGAGCAGCGTCCGCGTGGGGCGAGGACTAGACAGAGCGCGTCCGAGGGTGCCAGGAGGGAAAGGGGCAAAACTCCCCCACGCTGGCCCGTTTCCACCCTCCCAGAGGCAGTCGCTCACCACCCAAGTCGTAGCTGGCAGAGAGACCCGTCCGACGACAGCGCCCGTCGCGCTCTCGTCGGCGTTCGGAAGCCTCCGACCCTCTCGCGGGCCCCAGGCGTGGAACTGGCCGACAAAACACACAGGGAACCGGAGAACCCCGGCTGCGAAGAGTTCGAACCGCCGCGGGAACCGTTGGAGACGCACCTCCCAGGCCGCAGCACCGCCCC